CTACCACGCCCAGCTAATTTTTTTTGATTTATTGTAGAGATGAGGTCTTGCCAAGTTGCCCAGGCGAATCTCGAACCTGCGAGCTCAGGCATTCCACTCACCTCAGCCTCCCAAAGTGCTGGGATTACAGGCTGGGCCACTGAGCCTGGCCGCGTTCATGGTTTTTGAGGAGGTGCCCTGAACCACAGATGGTTACTACCTGAGAACACTCATCACGTGAAGCTGCCTGTCGGGCTGGGGGTTGCAGTTCTGCGGCTTGCAGTGCTGGAGCTGGGCAGTCCCGCTTCTGAAATGGCTGCGGGACTCCGAGCATGCCCAGTGTGGGAGCTGGCGCGTGAGCGCTGCGGTTCCCTGCAGCTGGCCGCAGTGCGCAGTGCACTAGGACAGGCAGAAGCGCTAGGGTGCCTGTGGAGCTTGGCGTTTCATGCCTTGCCTCCTTTGTTGATCCCTTTCCTCGCACGGTGCTGTAGACTGGGGCCAGGGCTCTAGATCAGGGCAATATGCTGGGCTCACCTCCTTGGCCTCCCCGTCCTCTCCCTGCCAAAGTAAACCTGTCTTGATGTCTGGCTAACTGACATGGGCACTTTCTTGGGGGTGGCATGGGAGGTTCCCCCAGCCGAAGGTGCTGGCCTGTCCCAAATTTGCTGTTTAGCAGGAAGAAGCACATCACTGTTTCAGTTATGCTGATGATAAGCCAGTAGTTTTTCTCTTGTGTGATTATTGAATACTCCAGTTTTTTTGCTGACTGGCAGTGTTTCCCTGTTCCTCCTCCTGCTCTGCCCCTGTGGCAGTCGTGGTGGTGGGTAGATGTGGTTGGTGGGGGTGGCACTGTCAGGTGAGCCGGAGCAGGGAGGACTGGCCCTGTCTCCCTGTGCCGGGCTCCTTTCCATGCAGCTGCAGAGAGGGGCATCTGCCTGCTCTGGGGGTGGAATGGTGCTGACCCCCCCTTTGAGAGGAGTGGGGGCAGTGCGTCCCTGGAACCTGCACAGCGCAGCGCCCACACTTGCTGGCTGTGGGATGGCCATCTGGCTTGTTGATTGGGCGGCTCCATTTTCCTTTGAATGACAAAGAAGTTGAGAGATGCGGAAACCCAAGGCGGCAGTTCCCACTTGGGTTTCTGAGCAGTTCTATAGAAGACAAGACAATGTCTGAGCAAGTGCTAGACACATCTGGGAGAGACCTATTGAGGAGGGCTGGGTTGTCATTTGTTTATTTATTGCAAGTAACAGGATTAGAGCAGATTCATTCATAGGCTGCCCGTTCTAGAACCGCATTCTTGGAACAAAAGGGTGGGGGAGGGTAGGCTTCTTGCCTAGATCTGAGAAAACTCCAGCTCGGGCATACAGCGCAACGAGGAAGAAGGAACAATGGGGCTGTTCCTTTGTGCCTGCCCTTGAAGCACTGGGTGGAGGCCGCTTGTGCGCCCTGGTGGTGCCCTTGCTCACGTGTTCCCAGCAGCAGTGGCGTCTGTGGGGATGCTGTGCATTGAAGACTGGCACTGTTTTGGGTAGTGGTTCTGAGAGGAACTGCTAAACCAGGTATGCAAATGTGCTGATGCCAGGAATTTTTTGCAGCACCTGTGATGTAAATTTCAATGGTGGTTAGTGATAACAGCGCAACCCAAGGAGTTGATTTGTTCTGTTTTTTCTGAGTTGAAATATTGTGCTTTCTGAGGAGACGTTTCCCCCGGCCGTGCTGAGGTCTGGTTCGGGCCTTCCTCCATGCCTCTTCCTCCAAGCCCTTTGGGGAGGGTGGCTTGTGGAGACCATCAGCAGGTGGGCAGCTGCAGCTCGCGGTGTGGGCAGAGCCCGGGCTTATGGGGACGCAGGACCCCAGAGGCTGCAGCTTAGGTAGACATGTGCTTTTCATTTCAGTGGATTTTAGGGATGGAGTTGTGAATTTTAGGGTGTTTGTCTTCTGCTTGAGGCACTATGATGCGTTTGTGGATCATGGCACTAGGGGGAAGAAACATGACCAAAGAGAAGGTTTATTTAGGTGAAATAAAAGTTTTGGTGGTGTTTTTGATATGAAAATATTTGTAGTCAAAGCATTGTTCTTCTCTTTAGAGACCTGGGTGAGGAAAGAGGTGCTGTTACGCTGTTTATCATGTTGGTCTGACCTTCCCAGCATCTGAAATCTTGTAGGAATTTGTCTTACTTGGAGTGTATGTGGCTTGGTTTGTTTCATAGGATCCAGAAAAGAACCTGTCCAAATTTAGGGTAAATTACCTTTTAGAATTTTAAGGGGTGGCGCATAGTACCTCTTAAGTGGACTGCACCTTTCGCAAGAAGAAAAGTGAGTGTTGCAATGGAGAGCTCATGTCCACCTTATAGACTTTTGCAGAATATGTTTTCTATTTTGGAGAAGAAGCAGGACCACGGAGAGGCAGACAGGTAGATGTAGGAAGGGACATACTGGTAGAGAAGATGGGGAATGCTGATGGATTGGGGTACCAGAGTATCAGCACTGAAGGGCTGTCAACTGCTGGGAACTGACTGACGTGGGTCTTGCAGGCTCCTTCTAGAGAGAAATGTCCTTTCTTCACTCCACCCCCCCACTCATTCATCCACCTGCACATCCACCCCTCCATCATCCATCCACTTACCCACCTACACATTCACCCACCCATTTATCCACCCAGCACCTGGCTACCTACCCACCGTCCATCCATCCACCTACCATTCATGCACTGATCCATCCACCCACTCACCCACCCACCCATCCACCCGCCCATTCATCCATCCACCCACCCACCCACCATCCATCCATCTATGCACTGATCCATCCACCCATTTTTTTTTTTGAGTTGGAGTCTCACTGTGTCGCCCAGACTGGAGTGCAGTGGCCGCCCCCAGCCACCGCAGCCTCGACCTGCCAGGCTCCGGCGATCCTTCCGCCTCAGCCTTCCAAGTAGCTGGAACTACAGGCACGCGCTACCACGCCTGGCTAATAGTTTTGATTTATTGTAGCGATGAGGTCTCACCTGTCCAGGCAGGTCTCGAACCCGTGGGCTCAAGCAATCCACTCACCTCAGCCTCGCAAAGGCGCGGGATTACAGGCTGAGCCACCTAGCTCATCCACCCATTTACCCACCCACTCATCCATCCATTCACTCACCATCCATCCATCCACCTACTGTCCATGCACTGATCCATCCACCCACCCACTCACCCACCCACCATCCATCCATCCACCCACCATCCATCCATCTATGCACTGATCCATCCACCCATTTACCCACCCTGTCATCCATCCATTCGCTTGCCATCCATCCATCCACCTACCCATCCATCTATCCATCCATTCAATCCACCCACCCACCTGTCTATCCATCCACCATCCATCTACCTACCATTCATGTACTGATCCATCCATTCACCCACCATTCATCCATTCACATCCACCCACCTACCCATTCATCCACTCACTACTCATCCTGTATCCACCCACCCACCTATCCACCCATTTATCCATCCATCAAGCGCATATTAATTAGCTGTTATATACCAGAACTACTAGCTGACAAACTTGGGTATATTTGTGGACAGCACAACAATCCAGAACATTTTTATTATCTTCAAAAGTAACCTCATACTCTTAGCAGTCCCTTCCCATTTTCCCTTCCCTTTAGCCCCTGGCAACCATTGATTTACTTTATTTTCCTGTAGATTTGCCTCTTCTGAACATTTTATATAAATGGAGTTGTGTAATAGGTGGTTTTTTGTGCCCGGCTTTTTTCAGTTATTTGATTGTTTTCAAGGTTCATTCATGTTGTAGCATGCATCAGCAGCTCATTCCTTTTTGTGGCTGAGTAATGTTCCGTGGTCTGGATATGTCACAAGTCTGTCCAGTAATCATCTGGTAGGCATTTGGGTTGTTTCCACTGTTTTGACTGTTGTGCACAGTGCTGCTGCTGGGAACATTCATTTTTTTTTTTTTTTTTTTTTTGGTCAGAGTCTCACTCTTGCTCAGGCTGGAGTACAGTGGCATGCTCATGGCCATTGCAGCCTCGACCTGCTGGGCTTGGGCAATCCTTCCACCTCAGTCTTCCAAGTAGCTGGGACTACAGGCATGCGCCACCACGCCCATCTCATTTTTTGATTTATTGTAGAGATGAGGTCTCACCAAGTTGTCCAGGCTGAATTCAAACCCGTGGGCTCAGGCAATCCTCTCACCTTGACCTCCCGAAGTGCTGGGATTATAGACATAAGCCACCAGGCCTGGCCACTATGAACATTCTTGTTTACAGGTTTTTGTGTGGACTAATGCTTTCATTTCTCTAAGGCATATCCCTGGGAGTAGAATAGCTGGATCATGTAGTAACTGCTTTAAGTGTTTGAGGAAATGCCAGATTGTTTTTTGTTTTTTGTTTTTTTTTTTTGTGTTGGAGTCTCACTCGGTTGTCCAGACTGGAGTGCAGTGGCCGCTCCTGGCCACCGCAGCCACGACCTGCTGGGCTCCAGCGATCCTTCCCCTCAGCCTTCCAAGGAACTGGAACTACAAGCGTGCGCTACCACGCCCGGCTAATTTTTTTTTTTATTTATTGTAGAGATGAGGTCTCGCCTGCTCAGGCGGGTCTCGAACCTGTGGGCTCAGGCAATCCACTCACCTCAGCCTCCCAAAGGCGCGGGATTACAGGCTGAGCCACCGAGCCCGGCCAGATTGCTTTTAATGGTGGCTGTACTATTTTACTTTCCTTCCAGCAGTGCACAAGGGTTCCAGTTTCTCCACATTCTTGCCCACACTTGTCATCGTTAGCGTCCCATCTTTTTAATTCTAGCCTTCTAATGGGTATGCAGTGGTCTCTCAGTGTGGTGGTTTTGATTTGCAGTTTGCTGATGACCGAAGATTGGAGCACCTTTTCCTGTGTTCATTGCTCATCTGTATATGTTCGTTGGAGAAATGCTTGATTAGATCTTTTTCTTATTAAAAACACTTTTGGCCAGGTGCAGAGGCTCACGCCTATAATCCCAGCACTTTGGGAGGCTGAAGTGAGAGGGTTGCCTGAGCCCAGGGATTTGATCTCAGCCTGGGCAACTTGGCGAGACCTCATCTCTACAATAAATTGAAAAGCTAGCCGGGCATGGTGGTGCGTGCCTGTAGTTCTAGCTACTTGGAAGACTGAGGCGGAAGGATCGCCCGAACCCAGCAGGTTGAGGCTGTGGTGCTGGGAGTGTGGTAAAAGGTTGGACCATCCTGTTCTCGCATCTGAGGGTGGGGGAATGGGCAAAAGCCAGGATGCGTGGCAACAGCCAGAGCTCAAAGAGCACATGGCCATACCAGAGTTTAGCAAGGCAGTGGCCGCTGGCTGCTGGTGGTTAAGTCCTTTTAACCATACCCCTTGATGGGGAGAAATCATTAAGGTGATTGGACGGTGGTCTGCTCCATGTCATCACAAAGGGGCAGGCAAACGCAGGTACTGACGTCAGGTGATGGACGGCAGGCAGATGGGCGGGTTAGTCACGTGATTGCTGCCATGGTGGGGTTTATCTGTGTCACCAGGTCACAAAGGACTGATTAGGTTTGTTAGGGTACTGGACAGGGTGAGGGTGGAGAGGCTCAGGAAGGTGCGGCACACAGCACTGCCAAGGCTGGCAAGCTGGAGGTGAGAGAAGAAAAGATTTATTTAAGAAAAGTTCACCCCCCACAGACAGGGAGTGGGCCTACATTCTAGGTGAGTGTGGCGTCATAGCCCCCCAGAGTCTTGGCTTAAATCCTTTTCTTAGAGATGTTGCACTTGACTGCCCTGACTGATGTGACTTCCTTATCAACTACTTGTGGATGTCTTGGAGATCCTGTATCACAGAGACACATTAATGTTCACCCATGTTATCATAGCTCCTAGAGAAGGGTGTGGCAAGGATTCTAATTCTCCTGCACCTTCCCAAATGACATTCCTTAGACCTAAGGAGGGTGCACCTCCCCTTATCTCCTAGGCATTCCCAGTGGGGGATCCTTGGCTTCCCTGTAGATAGGGCCCAATTTACTGGAAGACTGAATCCCCATCTGCTCTCCCTCTGAGCGGTCATAACTTTCGTAATTACAAGTTTCATGACTTTTACTGTCCTTGCCCAATGCATGATGTCTTAGGCCTTGTAATTTCCCTTTACTTGAGGCAAGCTTGATTGCCAATATGAGATACCTCAGATACCTGGCACCAGGAAGTCTATTTCTGAAAAGACAAAGTTAATTTTACTTAAAGTGTACATTTCTCCAAAAGCATAGCTTCTACTTTCTCATCATGGTGTCAGGGTTTAAGAACAAGATGAAAAATGGCTTCCCACTCTCGGTCTGCCCTTTTAGGTTTCACTTGGGGAGTTTAGACCTGGAGGGTTTTTTCCCTGCAAGAGACTTGTTAGACATTTGCAATCCACAAACTCCTTGACCAAAGGTGGTCAAATGATGACTTTTTAAAATTTTTTTTTTTTTTTTGAGTTGGAGTCTCACTCTGTCACCCAGACTGGAGTGCAGTTGGCCGCTCCCGGCCACCGCAGCCTCGACCTGCTGGGCTCCGGTGATCCTTCTGCCCCAGCCTTCC